TCCGGCATGTTAAAATTCGACACTCAAACTATCTTACCCATTACCAAGATAGCTTCCCCAATTATCACCTCTAATACCATTAGCTCACAAACATCCCACTCTCCCCACCTCTAATATCATCAATTCACAGACACTTACATTCCTTCCTTCCCCCCCTCCCCCGCATTCCCCTCCTGTTCTGAAATGTGATTTGTCCTTTTCATGTGTGTTCCTTTTTTTTAATTGTATCCTTTGGTATATATGGTTGTGACTATTTTCTTCCACTATTTGATCTGAGGAAGTGGGTCTGGCCCACGAAAGCTCATCACCTAATAAACCATCTTGTTAGTCTGTAAAGTGCTGCATAGTCCTGCATTTTGTTTCAGTGCAATGAAATGGCTGCTTCAGTTTGTTATTTACAGATCTGGGTGCTGCTGGGTGTGTTTCCTTTTAAGCTTCATAATGAGTCCGTTTTCCTTTAAATCATTTTGCTTATCAGAAATGAAAGCTGTTTGTTCTGCAGCGATTTCCCAGACAGGGCTTCACTGGCTGCAGGACTGAGGTTTCATGATCTGTCTCAGATACCTTACCTGCAACATTCCCCTACCTCCCAGCAGTCCTGCGGAGCTCACTTGGTTATTTTTTCTCAAGAACTGCGGAGGGAGGGAAGCACTGTAGAATTTCAGAACAGGATCATTACTCACCCCAAATTCCCTATCCGTGTTGTCGAAGTAAAAGGTGCAGGACTGGCAGCTCTGTGTATTTTTCCACTTCAAATACTAAACCTGAATTCACGTGAGCGCACCAGACTCTGCATTTCCACTTACAGATTCCAGCCCTGATGGGTTGTGAAGAAAAGCGGGAAAATGCACCTGTCCAGAGACCTGCCTCTCTGCGGGCAGCTGGAACCCCAGTAATGAGCCGGATCTAAGCCCCATTCATACCTGTGGAGTGTTAATTCCAGGACTCAGGGAGCCCGGCCGGGGACTCTCTGTGTGCGAGGAAGGAGGAAGGAAGGAAGAGCGCAGTGGCAGGCACACGGCTGTGCTCTGGGGAGGGGCCCTCTGCTGCCTTTCGTGGGGTGAATGAAGAGACCCCACCGTTGCTGCTTCCCTGGCCTCTCTAGGAAGGGAGAGGGGCTTGTTCCAAGGGAATGGTACCTTGGACAGAGCCATGCGGGGGAGGGGCAGAGGGAGCAGGTCCACCCCCTTGCAATGGTGCGTGGCCAGTCCAGATTGCAGGGATGGCAGTGGGTCCAAGGGGACTGGGTTCCCCGGGAAGCGAGGACCCCGGAATGTGGGAGTTGCCGTGGGGCAGTACCCCGGGGAAAGGGCACCGTGGTCTGGGAGGGATGTGGGTCCTGGCAGGTGGTGGACAAAGAGAGGCAGGGGACAGCAGGGAAACCCTTCCCAGAAGGGTTGTGAGAGCTAATTCCTTGGGCTGGCCAGCAGGAGGCGCTGTGTGATGAGTTGACTGCTAGTTACTACAGATGCAAAACCTGCAGGCACACTCCACTGCTGTAACACTCCACACCTCAAGGTCCTGGGAGCTACACAAGCCCATGGGAGCTGTACTTCGCCCAGGTCACTACATGTGTAGGTGTGGGAACTAAGCGGGGGGGGCGGGGGCTACAGCATCCCTAGCCTTTAGTTGGGGCTCTACTGCTTCTCTAGTGCCTGGGTCCCAGCTTCTGTGCCCCCCTAAGGTCCCAACTGCTGGCACCACACTTGGATCCTGGCTGCTGGCTCTGGGGGCTCTGCTCTTGGCTTGTGCCTGCCCCCAGCTTGGGGGTGACAAGGGTAAGGGGCAAGCTCTCAGCATCCCCACTATTAAAAGTGTTCCCGCATCCCTAAGTTCCCTGCTGATCAGATGGGTGAAGAGACAACCACTGTGCTCTCAAATGAATTCAAATGCCAGAAAATGATGAAACAGAAAACACCTCTCACCGGCTGGAGAACACCTTTCACAAAACAGCTGCTCGTTGGCTGACCTGTCTCTTTATCCACTTTGAAAGGGCAAACCCGGGAGTCTGAATTCACAATTCTGCTAGACATTAAAGATAGTGGTGTGAACAGGGTTATTACAACAACCTGTAACCCACACCCCACCCCTTTTGACCATAGGGGAGTTAATGGGTCACTCTACCCAGGGTGGTTTCTTAGAACATGTGCTAACTACA